GTCAAGAATATTCCATTTTGGAAGAACACTAAAATTCTGTCCATTTTGATGCACAAGTTTTTAGGTGTGGAGAAGTGAATGTCAGGGTGACTTTGGAAGTGGAAATTAAGTCAACTATTGAGTTAAATTGCGTCAACAAATACGAAGAGTGAGAAGTTGAGTGTCTTTGTGGGCAGCTTTGCTGCCACTTGTGCATTCCAGTTTCTTTAAATACGTGGAAGGTAGACGCCATTTTCGCTAATGTGCAATCAATTTCATCAATTTAAATTCTTGCCTCTACATATAACTCTGTTTCTAAAGTCATGTTTTCCCAAATTTACGCCTCAATCACTGATAGAGGACCTCTCAAGCTCTAAAGTGTGCCAAAGATGTAATAAGAGGGAGTGTAGTGCCAGCAGCTAATCTTTCGGTTCCTTGACTGTCGCGTTGAAATCCATGAGGATGGCGTTGATAAGCAGCTCTGGAGTAAATACAGGATTGATGATCTGTGTGGTGAGGAGGAGGTGGAAGTTCGAATCCACTGCAGTTTCGCAGCCCCATATTTTCACCCTTTCCTTTTGAGGCCGTTTTTAGGTGTGGAGTTGTGAATGTCTCAGCGACTTTAGAAGAGACAATTAAGCCTTCTATTGTGTCAAACTGTACAAATGATGCAAAGAGCGAGAAGTTGGATGGCTTTGTGTGCAGTTTCGGTGCGTGAAGGTGAAGAACAAATGCACTTTGTGCATTTTAATAAAACTCACTATTTAAAATTCCCAAAGCGACTCCCATAAGATTGGGTATAAAACGCCACTTACCGTGCCAACCGAGAGCCCTTCCTGTGGGACGATTTGACTACAGAGTTGCAAAGCTCAGTCTTATTTTGATGTATTCGACAATTGACATCACCATGTCAAAAATGAGAACTCTCTTCCTCTTTCACTCTTCTGACAGGCTTATGGAAGAATGTAGGAACAGACCGGCCACCACGTTAACGTACGGCTGTCAGATACACGGCGCCTTCCGTGCCTACACTGACGAGATTTCAAAAAGCGTGCTCAAAATCTCCTTCACTGTGATGGCCGGCATGATACCCATCTTCATCATCCTCCCTGATGTGGGAGTATGTTCTTGTTTTTCCAACATTTGTCCAAGGTATTGTGTTATTTATGAGTGTAAAAAATGAGTAGTTTCGTAAAACATTATGAGGCTTGCAAATAGGCTCATTATGTGGACGTGTGCATATTTTTTACCGCCCAAGTGCTGTAAAAGGGAGATCTCGAACGTCCATGAAGAGGCAAATCAACATCATCACTGTTACTACGTAAGCCAGTGTTAAAAATAGAGAGCCGTCTTGGATGTCCGTTCCTCGTAAGTCGCGTTTTATGCATTACTTTTGAGTCACACATCCCCATTGACTTCCATTATGGTAAACAAACTTTACTAACCCCAAAATCATCGCATACATCATGTTGGAAGTAGTTGGACCCAAGTGATGTGTCTCGTCGTCAAGTAGCAGCATTACACACACCACCTTCCGTCGTTGAGTTTTTTTTGCAACAACTGCGCTGCTTGGAGATGAGCGGATTACATTACAGCTTGCAAGACTGTTTACAAGCGTCTTTGTTTGACAAGACGTTTGAAGCTGGGCACTTTCGGTATTTACTAACCCTTTACTTCGTGATGACTGTCAGTGCACCAACATTCGTTATAATAGATGGCTTGACAAAGTGATAGTCAATTGACCAATCAGAGAGGAGAGCGCTTATTTGACATGAAAATCACCCCTAACACTGTGGGAACAGGGCATTGCTTCCAACAGTTTTGTCGTCAATCTTTCCACTCAAATACATCCTCGTAAACGGAGGTTCTCGAAGTCTGGACATCACCATGCACTGACCGTTCTTTCGTTCACCTACAAAATTGACGAGACTTGACAAGGGTGGAAGAGCGTGGGACAGAAGACCCTACCTTGAACAGGAGGCATAGCAGACAGAGTCGAGAGGCTTAAAATTCCAGTACTATTAGGCGTGCATTTATTTCTGTGATTTGAAGTGCCTCTGTTTTGTTAGGTACTGCAAACTCTGCCCACACGTACAAAGAAAACCTGTTGTCGTTGTTTACATTTTTGGATAGCTAAAATACATCAGCATTTAACAATTTTATTTTGCATTTAGGTGGCAAATATCTTGTGCTTTGGTATCTGTGCACCGTTTGTGGGATGTCTCTGTCTCAGCATTGTCTGGACACGTCTCAGCAGAGTTGCACTTCTAACCGGCTACTTCGTCAGTGCCGCAGGCTCCCTCGCTCTGTGGTTTGCAATTGAATATGCATCGTTGCTAGGTGTGTTGCAGACAGCTCACGACATGTTTGGTGCAATTTTGTTGAATGCTTTGTTTTATACTTCAGTGTAACTCGATATAGTCATGCAGAGGATACAGTGTTAATTATGTATGGCCTTAAGTGAAGTGATGTAGTGTCTTTGGGTAGCTTTTTTGAAGTAAAAATGCTCGCAATGCTACCGACGAGAGGGACTGGAAGCACTTTATAGGTGCTACACTATTAAAAAAATAAAATCTTTTTTTC